TACACTCCTCTCCACCCGTCATCTCTGTGGTGTTGTGTTGTCACGACAAAAAAAAAAGTTGCACGTGCTCCCCACCAACACCCCCTACCTCAGCCTGCGATCGTTGATGTCTCGGCGGACGTCTCGTCTCCGCCGCCGGACGAATCTACAACGGGGAAAACACTCCGCGAACGATTGGTATGCTCACCTCCCCCCCCCCCCTCTCCACCCCTCTCTCTTTAGCTCTCTCCATCCCTCACTCTCTCCGTCTCGGCATCCTCATGTCTCCTCCTCCTCCCTCTCCCGCCATCGGTTCCTGTGCACCGTGGACGATTACACAACGGCGGCACGGGTGAAGAGCACACAGAAAAATGGTCAGGTGAAAGCTGCAGGGTCAAAGCGTACATGTATACACCTACAACGGTTTCGGTGATCGACGCATTACATGCTCCCACACGTAGCAATCCCAATCTATCCTCCTAAAAACACCAACAACCTGTGCCTCTCGTACCATGTTGCCCATCAGATCAGTCACGGTGAAGAGGCAGGGGTCGGGCCGTGGAAGTATTTGTTGAAGAGTAAATGGTCGTTGCCGGCTCCAGGCTCGAAAACGTGGCGCCACACGTTCCCTTTCCCGCTCTCTGAAACCGCCCCACACCCGCCCTCGGGGCACTGATGATACATGTGCACAACGCGCCGGATGGCGTCCGCTGGAAAAAACGACAACCGCTTGCGCAGTCTCATCACAGCATGCCCAGTCACGGCGTCCGACTTTTCGCTGCTTCCGACACCAGCGGTGACTTACTCGGCGACCGCCACCCATCTGGTCAGCAATCCTTCCTCGCCATCTTGGAGAGAGTTTCCCCTGTGCTGGAAGAAGAATGCAACCTTGCCCAGCGTGCATGTCCCAGCAGGGCCAGGCTTCTTGGCGTCCAGGGCCGCCCGATCGGAGTAGATCTCGACATCCGTTCCAAACGGCGGGGGGGCCAAAATCCACCGGATGTTGGGTTTGTCGTGCGCGTCTTCCATCGGCGCCCCTCTGATGGTGCCTGTGCCGCCAGAAACCCTCTCAGGGGCGCCGATCCACGTGTTGCTGCAGTCAACCTCCATGTTGACGAGATGCAGGTGTCGTTTGCGCCAACAACGAGGACAGCGGCCGTTGCCGCACATGTTGGGGTTGCTCGTCTCCCTGCCGCACGAGAACCATGCCTTGTAGAGGTCGAGGAGATCCAGCCCGCCCGGTCCCGTTCGCCGGAGGAGGGCTCCAATCGTCTCCTGCCACCCCTGTGCGCTCGGGGCCGCAGCCTGCCGCCCGAGACGGACGTTCCACTCAACGATTCCCCGGGGTCTCCCGGTGCCGTGCCGGCGGGCCCCGATCTCCCACTCGGAGATGGTCCGGAGAAGCTCACGACAGGCCGGACTAGCCTGCACGGTCTTCTTCACCCACCCCCGCTTGGTCTTGTCGTAGCCCCAAGCCGTCCACCTCACTCCTTCCGCCATGGCCTCGGCAGCCATGGCATCATTCTCGCGGCGAACGATGTGTTCCTCGTTGTCTCGGCCACTCGCCGTCTTCGCGCAGCTCTTGAACGACTTGTGCCTGGACTCGCCCGCGTGGCAGTCCGAGAGCTCTCCTGCACAAGACAGGGGGTGTCATGACCGTCGCGCCGAGGGAAAGGGGTGTGCATGTTTTCGTAACCGGTCATTTTCCTCTCCAAGGCCGGGGCGAAGCACGTTGGGTTCTCACCAAGAGCGACGCGCCGTGAAGTATGCCGCGATTGGCGTGTAGGGGGGGTACCCGTGCGCTGCTCTTCCCGGCATCCTGTTATTTACTTGCTTGCACACGGATGACAACCGCGAATGGCTTTGATGATATTTTGTGGTGCTCTCACTTTCACAGACAGGTAGCAGACACTCCTAGCGTACCTGGCCAATTCGGCACACCGTGGTGCGATCATCCCCTTTGCGCGGAGTGAGCGTTCTCGACCACGCACAACATCATCTGCCAGACCACAATAACACGTCACTTGTTGTATGTCCTCCACGAGACGGGAAAACAAAAAAGGCGGGAGGGGGTGCTACAGCCACGCGGCCTACAAAAAAAATGGCTTACCGTAGTCGGTTGCGTTCTTGGCGAAGTGGAGTCCCTGGTGATTGCTGCACAGCCGCCCACCGTGCTTGTCCCCTAGCATGCTCATGAGGGACACCTGGTAGGGAAAAAGCGCGTGTTATCGAACGTGGTGGTGGTCACTTTTAGCTATTAGTGGAGGAGCGCAACAACAACAACGAAGGTCACGCGGGTGATAAACCATTTTTCCCACCAAGTGAGCCAAGGGCGGGTACCTTCTCTCGCTGTAACCTATCGATGGATGCCACGGTCTCGTCGTTGAAGGAGCTCGAGCGCAACAAGTGCGTCGCCTTGGAGGAGGCGAGCAGTAGGGCCCGTAGTTTCTCCATCACCTCGGTGTCTGTTACCACGGTGTCTGTTGTCGCCCCCAGCTCCGCCCGGATGTCGTTGCGGAATGGCGCGGTCGTGAGGCGTTTCTGCGAGCGACACGAAGGTGGAGCAAAAAGCAGCAAAAGGTTTATTGGTGTTGTTGTATTTCGTTGTATGTTCGCATGCACATGGTGACACCCCTCAGCACTAGACCCAAAGCAGCATCAAGAGCTCTAGACTATAGTATTATCACCTGTCGGGCAATCTTACCATCGACGCCACGCTCCTCAAGACCGGGCGGAAGACGAGGAGGGCTACACTCGACAGTCTCCAGACATCCATCCCAGACAGAGCGGAGAACCCGCCATCGCTCACGAAGTCCCTGAGCGGTGGTGTGCCGGCGACTCGCAGAGAAGGATCTTTCGCTAGACACGAGAGGAGGGGCACGCCCTTCGCTTTCGAGAGACCGCCCAAGAGGCGCTTAAAGATTTTCAGAAGGGAATTCTGGGCGTCCTGGTGAAACACGTCTATCCCGAACGTCCGCACCATGTTCAAGTGCACGTGCTTTCGGAAAGGGTTCTCTACCTCTTGCGGGGTCACACCGTGTTTAGACGAAAGCGCCTGCCGTTGTGTCCCGGTGGTGGCCGTGCTGATCACCTTAAGGGCGTACTCGGTCTGATCATCGGTGCGGCGGTTGCGCACGATGTCGTAGTTTCCATCGGCTAGGTCCTCTTGGCCGATGGGGCACACGTGACATGGCATCAGCGTTTTGTTGGTTACCCGCTTCATGCCCAACAGTAATTGGCGTTCTGGTGAATCCGCGTCGCACAACAACAAACCAAGCCGGAAAAACACCTGGTCGCCGGGGTGGGGGGGAGGACAGTGGGTGGGAATGTGACGGGAGGAGTCAGCGAATAACCCGCGTATGCATATGCAATTGAATTGTAGGGCGTTACGTCGCATACAGGTGGCTCACCAGATGCTGGACGAAAACAACAACTAATCTTGATCGAGGCCAGAGAAATGGAAGATAAAAAGAGATAGATCGAAAGAAAAACACATGAGAGAGAGAGAGAGATGGTTGTTGCCGTCTTCACACACACAAACAAAAACGTCCTGTGGTCTCTGCTTTTACTTTCTAGAAAACAACGAACGGACAAAAACAAACACACAAGAAGGAACCGGAGAAACACATCCTCCAAGCACAGTGTATCTAGCGGACCCGAGCAAGCAAAAAAAAAAGAGAGAAGGGAGAGTGGGCCCATTGCCCGTGCTTGCCGGACACGCGATGCCAAAAATGAGACAAAAGGATCCCAGATGAAGCATGTATCAATGACAAGAGTCGGAGGGTCCTGTCGTTGTTCTCTATCAAACGTACCCCACCGTCACGTGTGGGGCAACGAGAGGGAGCTCCTAGGGGGGAGTGGGTAGCAATAAGACGTTCTTCTTGCCACCTCCATCATCAGTCTGGCACATGTCTCGCTACCGCGGTTCTGCCACCTCCGTCCTGCCACTCCTCGTGCGACGCTGAGGAGGACAAAACACTCATTTCCTCGCCAGGCGACAGCAACAAAATAAGGTCGCTTGACAGCTACAGCTCACCTCTTCGACCTTGTCCGCAATCGCGAGCCTTGCCCGGCACCCCTTCTGCAGAACGCTGATAACCTCCAAAATGAAGCCCAGATCGTCCTGCCACCTCACCCTAGGCGCCGAAAGCCCGACTAACGGCCATGCCCCAGGCTGACGACGAAAAGCTTGAGAGGTCGACGCGAAAGGGCTGAGCAGCGTAGCTTTGATGGGGTAGGATACCCCTCCCTGCGAATCGGCCGAGACAAGAAAAAACGTACTCGGAGTATATAAAAACATGTCGGGACGCACGTCGTGTGGGTTCCACAAAACAGCAAAGCGGGGGGACACCCCACCCCTCCAGAGAGGCACGCCAAAATATAATGTACAAGGTCTCCGTTCGGGACATGGGTGACGCAGGAACACACGCGCAATTGCCCGAAGAGGGGCGGCGTGTCTTATTGTCGAAGGGCAGTTTTATAACGCTCATATTCAGTACAAAACATCGCGCACGTACAGTTTTTCCACGTTGGAGCCAGCTCGAGCTGACTACAACTTGCCAGCGAAAATTCAGACCTCTTTTATGATTGGTCTTGGGATAAATGGTGGGAGGTTTCCAATGAGAACTGAATCTGAATCCGAAACAAACGTCACAAACAAAATACTGTTCATCGCTGCCACGTGTAAATGACCAAACAAACGTAGGTGGGTACTGTTTGGACATTGCGACAACACGAACAGTCACAGCGATGTGGAATCAGCGAATGCATGAATGAATGTGGAGGTAAATATTTCAAACTGTCGTTGTGGATGGGTGTCAGAATTGGTTCGCCAGGCTTTGTCTGCGTCGAACCCGCCCCCGGGGTATAGAGCCAGTTTTCACAGCTTTGACCGTCAATCACACGCGATACGGAGGCCTACGGAGGTCGGGGCACGAGCGATATTGTACCGACGAGGCTCCTGCTTGCCCCTGAGAAGAAATCGCGAGAAAAGACTCGCTGCCGCGAGAGAAAGAAGTACAGAAGCATGAAACATGACAAAACCCTAGAAGTACAAAATTGAGTGACACGAGGAAAAAACAATAAACGAGATGCACACCTGGTTGCGAAAGTCGAAGGCGTCCGTGAACAGATGGGCCGGCGTCAAGAACACTCTGCGCTCCTTGTCATTGTTCCAATGGCTTCCGTTCTGTCGTCGATCGTAAAAGAGGCGCTCTGCCCCCTCTGGTCTCCAGGGAAGATGCTTGACTGCAGGGTCTGGTGAAGGCAGGGGTGTGTGCCGCCCACTCCGAAGCCTCTTGACAAAACCAACCCCCCTGAAACTTGGCAACGCGCTGCCGTCCTCGCCCGTGTGTACGTCGTCGGAACCCACGACCTCACACCTCCCCACCAACTTCGAGGTGTCCAGATCCACTCCGTCATTCGTGACCTCCCACACGCCGGTCTTGGTACCGGGGGCATCCTCCTCTACCTTCATCTCCGCGGAGAGAGCATTGTTCAGCAAACAGCGCTGAACGCGTGCTACGATGCGGTCGTTGCCACCACCACCGGCGATGTCGCAATCCTTGCTCCAGACCAACGACTCGAGCCGGCAGGGCAGTGCACCGGCCCCTTCCACCTGTCCCGGCAGGTCAACCACCATAACAGTGTCACCCACCACCACACGGTCTTCCTTGTCGCCCTGCCCTACCATGATCGAGTCGATTCCAAAGATGGACGAACTAGCGGCAATATCGCCGTACATTGCACCCTGTCGAACCCCATCTGTTCTGCGCGTAGGAATCGGCATGACATGGGCGTCGGGCACCCTTCCGTTGACCCTGTCTGACTCCGATAACGTATGCCTAGACGTGTTGGCCAACAGCTTTTCGACGAACCCGGGGGAGTCGAGCATCCGCTGGATCATAACACCGGCAGGGATCGACACTGCCAGCCTGGTGGGACCGTCGCTCGCGTCCTCGACCCCCGAAGTTGCAGCCCCGCCGCTGCCTTTCTCCCGGAAGTCCTGCCCGTAGACAGGAAACAGGGGAGAGCGAGCCCGCATATCCCTGTGAAAGTGGTCCGCGCTATCGGGAACATCGACGGCGTTGATCCCATTGCCGTCCTTGTCGGTCTGCCGCAGGCAATGGAAGAGCAGGCCAAGCTGGGACCGCGACGGCGAGGCAATCCTGGTGAAAGCCGCAAGCAAGGCCTGGGTAAAGCTTTCGTATGGTTCATACTCTCCTCGCTCCAAGGCCCGTAAGGAGTATCTCAGGGAATCAGGCCCGCCGTCCACCAGGCGGCGCTTGCCCATGCTGTGGAGGGATTCGTGCGACTTGTCAAGCCACACCGGTTCCTTCTCGTCATCCTCCATAGATTTCGATTCCCGGGTGCACCCCCCGCCACCACCGTCGCCAAGCTCGCCACCGCCGGGCTGTTCGTCCATGCTACCAGGCTGTTCGCCGTCACCGTCGTTGCTGTCCCCGTCTGGCGGACCCTCGAAAAATGGGCCTTCGCCTTCGTCGTCATCCGACCCCTCCCAACCACCGCCACCGCCGTCGCCAAAATCGCCACCGCCGGACTGTTCGCCGTCACCGCCGTTGCTGTCCCCGTCTTGCGGACCCTCGAAAAACGGACCTTCGCCTTCATCGTCATCCGACCCCTCCCAACCACCGCCACCGCCGTCGCCAAAATCGCCACCGCCGTCGCCAAAATCGCCACCGCCGGACTGTTCGCCGTCTCCACCCCCCCCGGCTCCACAGGTTATGAGTTCGTCGCTACTGCTAATGTCTTCCTCTTCCTCTCCCTCTCCCTCTCCCTCTCCCTCTCCCTCTCCCTCTCCCTCTTCGTCTCCCTCTCCCTCTTTCTCCCCCTTTCCTTCTTCCTCTTTTGCTCCCTTTCCCTCTTTCTCCCCCTCTCCTTCTTCCTCTCCCTCTTCGTCTTCCTCCTCATCGCTGTCGTTGCTATCAGTGTTCATGCTTCGGCGAATGATTCCGCCGCCGCTGCTACTGCTGCTGCTGATGCTGCTGATGCTGCTGAACCTGCCGATGCTGCGTGATCGACGGCGGCCTGGCGCACGATTGTTACGCACAATTGCAGGACCAGCATCGGCAGCAGAAGAACAAGAAGAACACCACGACCAGCCGCCGCCGTCGCCGTCGCCGCCGCCGCCGCCTTGGGTCTGTTGCGGCGGAACAACGGGATGACGAGGAGCAGGAGCAATCTTTCTCGCTCGTTTCCTTGTACTGATGTTTGGGTCGCACTCATGCTGGTTGTATGCCTGCCTGTTTTCGTACACGAAGCGGCAACGAAGGCATGTAAAGCCACGAACATACGAATGGGCAGGGCTAGGGTGTTTGCTGCTCATCGAAGCACACGTGTGGAAGCTGCGAGCGTGTGTTTGTGCATGTGTGTGTGCGGAGGAATCGCGCGGGCGCACGCAGATTGGAGTGCGGAGAGGTCCCCCTGAAGGTGCATAGTTCCACAGAGGGGGGGGGGGGGGGGGGGGCTCTCGAAAAAAAAATGATTGGAGCTGAGACGTGGACACGCACGACAGAGCTGTGTGTGTCACTCCCTTCCCGTGCTCCCGTCCCCCTTACGTTCAAAGAGCATATACACCATCAGCGCTATGAGCAGCACGGGCACTACTGCTCACCCCCAGCATGCTGCAGGAGCACAGTCGCAGCCTCAAGTGCAGAAGAAGGAGGAAACGATGCGGAAGCACGTGGCGAAGATCAGGACCAAAGTGCGAAGGTTGCGTGACAACCTCGCGGATGAGGTGAGGAGGCCACACCCACCCGATGTCCCTTTGGATTTGCACCAAAAAAAAAACAGCCACGACCTCTATACTCTATACTCTCTCTCTCTCTCTCTCCCTCTCTCTCTCTCTCTCTCTCTCTCGCTGGCTCGCTCTCCCATTCGTTGCCAGGGATCTCTCCGATGATGTCAGTACTGCTGTATGCTATGACCCAACTTTATTTTCCTTAACCCTTCGTGACTGGGTTGATTTGAATTTTTCTGTTTTTCCTCCCACAACTGGCTCTCAGCTGTCAAAGATCTTCGAAGCATGCGTGCACTGTACACCCATAAGTCACGGCTGCAAGGATAGTGCAGCAGTGGGTCCCTGTGAGCCCCCACATGGGCTCACAGGGATGGGGACGCGGTGTATGTAAGGGTGACGAACAGGAGGACAGTAGTACTACTGTTGTACAGCAGTAGCAGCTATGCGGAGAGAAGTAGACTGTACTACAGTACAGCAGGAGTAGTTTCTGAGCAGGTGTGCACCTGGCTCCGACAGCAACCATCCGCACGGAGAATATACCTGTTGGCGCATCTTCTCGACCTCATCTTTGGACAGAGCATGCGGCAAGCGCATATGCTAGCGGCGCTAGATGCGAAGACGCTGACGGGAGACCGCCTCACAGAAGCGCCAGATCGACGAAAAAAACGGCCCGCGCATCAGAGAATCGAGACCATCATCCACTATCGCACAAAATGCATAAAAATCGTGATATTTTATACTATTTCCGTACTACAAATAGAGAGCTGTGTTCGGATCAGTGATCGGAGAATTTCGCACAGAGCAGACGAACCACCCTCCACTCCCAATACTGGGAACCTCACGCACCGCAATCACAACAACATCAAGCACCGAGGCAGTACGCTAGCATCGGCTTGGGTGTGCGCTTGCTCTGCTCTCCGCCGCGGATGCGGCACCGGGTTGATCACATGTTCAGGGTGCCTTCGGTGGTATGTTGCCTTTGAATCTTGCAGTGCCGGTAGGCAGTTAATTGGATCTGGAAAGGATATCTGCCCCACGTAAGAGAGGTTAGGCATGAGTGAACAGTTTTGTACAATGTAAGTCCTGTGCGCATTGCTGATAAGCGTGCTTTTGGGGTGGGCTGCCTGTGTCTCCCTGCTGGTCTCTATGCATGAATGTTTTTTGCTCTTAGCCGAGGCACAACGGCGATATTTCGGCACTCAGAGTGATCCGAGCTGAATCGGCCTGTAGTCACGTAAGGGTAAAGACTACTAGGTATGACCCAACGAATCCATCTCTATCGAAGAATCCTCACACTACAGTACAAGTGCAAGGGGCTTCGGGGGCTTCCGCCGTCACGCTTAAGGAAGCGATTCCAAGATACATGTTTTTTTATCGCGTAAAAGATACGGTTGGTGAGTTTTAAACGATGTTGACTGGCTGAAAGATACTCGCCTTTCCGACATCTGTGCATACGAAAGAGAAGAGTAGAAAAGAGACTCACGAAGGCTGGGCAAGAGTGGGATGCGGGAGAGCGCTGAGGAGCTGAGGAGTGAGGAGGATGTGCAACCGAACGTGTGCGGGCGTCGAGAAGCAGCGTCACCCTGGTTGCCATATTCATGTGTTTCGCTGTTGTTGTTGTTCTTTTCTTCACAATAAACAAGCGTCAGTTGCTATTCCCAAAATCTAGCGAAGACTCGGTCGGTGGTCACGAAAATGCTAAAGCCATCAGAAGATATAAAGAACACTCACACTTTGCAAGGAAAGGGCCAGCGTCAAGAAGAAGTACACCTACAATCCCTGCAGTACGTATACGTGCCCCAAAAAAATCAAGTACCTGTCCGCACGCTACATTCGACGACAGCGCGCAGAGAAGCGTGAATCAAACACGAATCCCTCGTGTCGCGACCTTTCGTTTAATGTTACCATTGTTTGATCTCCGTGCTGCCCGTCCCTGTTCCTTCTTGTATTTATGGCTGTGCAGACCACGTGGATCGACGTGGACGACTACAAGGGCGGGAAGCGTCTCGTTTCATTCCTGGCGAAGCACATGTCCCACCCTCTGACGGGCACCGAAGCGGCGGCGATGGGTGCGACGCTGCTCGCCAATAACAACATCAAACTAGTGGTAAGGTTCAAACGCTCTCAACAGCTAGGCTCAGCTACACAGCCTCGGCCCCACTGCTGTGCAACATGGGACATGAAAATCATTTTCGCGTATTGTAGCGTTTGAGCTCCCCCTGATGAGGACGTCGGGCTGAGCCGCTCTGGAGAGCTCACCGTAGGTACTCGCCCAGAAGCAAAGGATTTGCAATGTCATAATTACGGAAGACGACAATGAAAGAGAGAGACACGCCGGCCAGCTCTCCATCCCCTTGGGAATGGGTTCCAGCCCCCATCATGGAAAGATATGTAGCCAGAAGCCTTGCCTGCAAAGACCCAAACCAAAAAATGTCACACAAAGTTCGCACTCGTGACGCTGCGTTAGGTTTTGTGTATTGTTTTTTTTTATGGTGGGGATGGGTGCGAAAGGAAGAGGCAGACAAACGTTCTCGTTTCGCGGTCTTTGCCGCAGATCCCACCGTATGGTCTTGTATCGTGTTGCTAATGGTAACGGTGCGCAGCAGCAGTCTAAAAACGTTCTGCCGAAGCACGAAATTCATGGAAGCGATTGACGAAGGCGTGTTCCGCTCTTACTCTTCTTGTTGCCTTCACACTGACTACAGTAACACCGATGGGTGCCATTTCCATCGATACGGGCGGCGAAATGCAAATAAACCATGTGCTGCCTTCGTTGCTGTTCTTGTGCACCCCGGCACCATGACCCCGATGGGTGCGAAATCACCAATATGGGTGGCATTAACACGCACAACTACGGTACGCCGCCATCTTGAGATAACCGAAAAAGACCCTAAGTTAAATACTCACAGAAGTTGTTTACGTCGCACTACTTGAAAATAGACTAGGTGGAGTTTGTTTCGTTTTTTTTTCTTGCACCCGCCGCACACCTCTGTTGTTGTGTGAGACTGAATGCGACGGCCTTGGGCTACCCCCGAACATTTACTACCACACTTGAGCATTGGTCGTGATCCGATGATTGTGCTGAGGAATTGTAGACAAACATGCGGTCTCTTGAGCAGCGCACGATTTACGTACAAAGTCTTTACGTACAAAGAGTGAGCGGCAACTCACAGTTAGATATAGCCGCTGTACAGCATACACAGCTTTGTGGCGTGGGTACGCGGCAGATCAGTGTGGACCTTAGCTCAAGCACGTCTCACATATGTCACGGTTCGGACGTTAGGTCGCGCCTTGGCGAGTTCACGAGTATGGCACGTGGTCAGTCCGTGGGACATGCACGACAGCCGCGTGTGCACACCAGCTCCGAAGCACAGGAGGAGCACAGATTTGGCAGCTCAGAGAAATGTTGTTGTCTCTGCAATGTAAACAGCAGCCAACACCCTCAACAAGTCTTGTATGTATGGGTTCTGCGTGTGGTCACCACACGATTCCAGGATGTCGTTAACCCAGCCATACAACGCGTGAAGAAGATACATACCGTCTGCAACACTGCTACATGCCAACAGCAGTAAGCAAACGACACCGACCGCGGTCAACACGCAATACGCCGTACCTCGCCTTTCCGCCCCAACGCGAAATGCCTGCAACAGCTGCACGTTTAATCT